AGAACCTTTCTATCAGCCCTTTCCAGGAGCCACTCGCCCCTGACCAGCTTCAGTGCCAGGGAAGGCTCCGAACCGACCCGACAAGACATGGCCGTGGGCTGCCAGGCCTGGGCCCGACGCCTTGGGGCGCTTAGCAGAGTGTAGCTTTAGGGTTTAGGGCCTTTAGGGTTTAGGGTCTAGTGTAGGGTTTAGGGTTTAGGGTTTAGGGTTACCAATATTCTTCCAGAGGGCTCCGTGTCAGACTTCATCCATAATCTTATAGAGGCCTCTGTATTAGGGGCTTTGGTTTTTGTGGTAACAAGAGGCGGGGTGCCAGGGTCTTAACTCTTTTAGGATTGTTAGGGGTGTTAGGTTTCCGGGTTTGGGGTTTTAAACGCCGGGCTGTTCGGGTTAGGGTTTGGGGAGTCTTGGAGTCTTAGGTGCCGGGGGTGGGTGTTAGGATGTTAGCGTTGTATTTGCTATAGGGTTTTAGGTTTTGGGTTTGGTGTTCAGGTTTAAGGGTTTTGGACTGTTAGGTTTAGGGTTTTCAGGTTTTTCGGCTGGGTGCTCTGAGATTCAGGGGTGGACAGGAGGAGTTGCTCAAATCAGAGTCTTTTGCTGATGCCGCAGCCATCCGCGCAAAAGCAATCTCTCTCGACAACAAGCACTACAGCTGGTAGCTGGTGATAGGGGGTAGGAGTTAATGCAGAAGACAGCATGTACTATGGATATGCGGTAGAAGGCAGCAACATGCAGTCACTTTGATTTTGCGTGACGGCAATCTAAAGCATTTCGGAATTATTGGCTGTTAAGTCCTCCACAAACTTTGCCATTGCACATAGATGCAGAGTGCATGCGGACGTGTGACGCGTGTAGCCACAGAGGATACTATTGAATACCCTAAGCCAGAATCCCATACTGCCTACGCCCGTAATTCCTAAACCTTAATCCCCAAAGCTTTGTTCCCGAACCCTAAGCCCTGAATCTCAGTTCTAAACCCTAAACCTAACTTAAACGGATCCTAAAGCCTACACTCCCTACGCCTTACTAAGTGAATCCCTAAACCCCACAACGGGCTCCCAACGGGCCCCCAAACTCCCAAGCCTGAGAGCCTAGACTTCCGGGACGCGCGCTCCCAAGCGGCAATGAAGCTGAAAGTGCAGATCATGACGCCTTCTGGGCCCGTCAAGCTGCAGCATGAGGTGGGGTTCCCAGGAGTTCGCGACTTAGGCATGTCACGGTTTTGGCAGGACGGTCACCTTTGGGAATTAGAGGTCAGTTTCTCTCTGTTTTGTTTAAGGGCGGTTTTGGTTGTTTAGCCGGAGTTGGCTGTGCTTGTCGTGGCTGCCCTCCGATGGAACTAGGTCGCTAACCCCTTCAGGGACGTTTGCTTGGTCGATGGGTTTCGGCTGTAGTGAGGCTTTTGGATCTTTGGCCGGTCCTACATGTAGAGCAGCCCTGCAGCAGTGCCAGCATCTTGTCTCCCATCAGTTGCAGCTTAGTGCTCTTGTTGCTTGTAGATCCAATACGGGAATCGTAAGGGCTACCATGCGACTGTAGTATAGATTGTAGGGGTACCTTTTCATAGTTGTTCCCGAAGAAGCATGCAGCTCTTTTTAGCACGTCATCTATTGCGTTCTGTTTCCTTCGATCTTTTTTCGTGATTCTTAGGTCGGTTCTGCAACTGAATATCCGGTCAAGCCCTTGTTCAGATACTGGTGATGCTTCCTTGCATTACTCATGTCCTTTGATTCCTTGATGCTTGGCAGTCGCCTACAACCTCGGAATGACTTGTGTCGAACCTATGCAAGTTATCCGTTGTCTGGCGAAATAGTCTGGGAGCTCTTGTTGTTTTCGCACCTCATAGTCATAGTCTTTCCGTGTCCAAAGCTAGGAATGTCTACGTCTACGGCCGACGAACAGCAGCTGACCAGGTTGAACTGTTTGTTCCCTTCTGCACTGGCCTAGCATGTAGTTTCCTGATGCATCGTGAATTTGTGATGCATGCCCGAATCATTACTTCAACGATGGTTGGCTACTCTCAATTTTCTTTTTTCTGTGTCCGTTGCCTCAGCATGTCCTGTGTTGCAGACACACTGCTCGTTCGTACGTCTTTTGCACTGGCCGTTCAATTGCAGTTCTTCCTCGTTCTCGGTTTCGACGTGTCCTTTTTTGGAGTTCGGGTTGATGGTCCAAAGCAGAGGCTACTGCCCTAGACCTTGAACTTGTGACCCTCATCGTTATAGTACTCCACGTCCGGCGGATCTTCTCCAGGTCGATCCGAACGAGGATGTGGACAAGCTGAAAGAAGCCATCCAGGCAGCCCAGCCCCAACTAAACCAAGCCTTCACCCGCCCCTTCCCCAAAAAAGGTTCTTCAAGCAATTCGAACAGGGTCTCGGGGATATCTAACGGTAGACTCATATTCAGGCACCGGAAGAGTATTAGTGTTTGCTCTGGGCCCCGCAATTAGACCAAGAGGTTTCAGGGTATCTGTGCGTCCAAGCCCTCGAGGCAACTCTGTGTGCAGGTTCGGGGGTCATTGAACCATGCGCAGAGACCCCAGGAGCCCCCGACGCCCGCCCCGCCACTCTTGGAGAAGGTTCCCTGACGGCTGTGATCAAACGACTTTGTAGACAAGAAAGGAATGGGCCAACTGAAGCTCCGGGCTTCTAGAGGCCAAGAGGGTGATGAACTAACAGCAGGTGGACGCAGAAGCTTGCCCCACGCTTTCAGCCCAAAGACAACAAAGCGCAGGACCCTTAAATCAATACCCTAAACTCTTAAATCCAAAACCCCTAAATCCGTGAAACCTAAAACCCTCTAAATCCTTCTAGAACCGCTTGTAAAAAAACTCTTCCAGGACCCAAAGTTCTGTATCCCCAGGGGCCTCCAAACCCCTTGATAGCCTCAGCCCCGGAACCTTACATCCCGAAGCCCTAAACGCCCCATTCCCTAAACCTTCGCAGTTCAAGCGACCCTGGTCCAGGAGAAAGCTGGCACGGAGCCCGACAACCAGCGCTCTATCGCCTCCGGCTTTTCAGCCTGCAGTTTGAAGAGTTTTAAGAGGGGTCAGAGGTTTGGGGTGGGGGTGTTCGGGCTTAGGTTTTTGGGAGTTTTGGGGGGTTTGGGAGTGGTTACTGCTTTTGAGGTCAGTCCTTCGCGGCCGTAGCGCTGCGGTTTGCGGCTCTACTGTTGGGGCTCAGAGTCTTCGGGTCATGGCGTTTTTTTGGGTTTTGGAGTGCTGTCTGTCTAGCTGCGAGTGTGGAGATGTGTGAGGCTTGAGTAGTTGGGATTCAGGGTTTCAGGGCTTGGCGATTTTGAAGGGCTTGGGCTTTTACATGTCAGGATCCTTGCAGATTTGTCTTGCTGTGTTGGGGCTTTCGGGGGCTTTTGTGTTTTGGATTTGGTGGTTCGGGTTTCACAGGTCAAGTGATTGTCGTGGCATCACGCTTTCTACCATAAAACTCGGTTTTTTAGGGCTTCGGCTTCAGTCAGGGTTTCAGCTTTGTTTTTGTTTTGTTTTTTTTGTTTTTTTTTGGGGGGGGCGGGTTTGTGTTTTGCGATTGTGGGTGGCTTTGGGGTTGCGACGGTTTGCATCGCAAAGTGCAACTGCAATTTCCTATTGATGTCGTAACGCTTACCACCACCTTCATCATCATTGCCGCCCACCGCCACCGCCATTGCTGCTGCGGCCACCATCCGCGCTATCCCCACCGCTGCCACCGCCGCCGCCACCGCCACCTTCACCTCCACCGTCTCTAAAGGCACAATCGTGTCCAGAAATGCCCCCGTAAGGCTGCCAGCTGGATGGTGGCCGCACGTGGACGGACTTCATCCCCGGAATGCTTGTCAGCTTGTAAGGAAGTACTCCGAGTGCCAGTCTCCCTCCAGCGAAGTACGAATCGTTTCGGTTCGCGCATGTTGGCAGTACTCCTGCGCAGGATTACAACATCCAAGAGGGCGCTTTGATTCACGTCGTGTTGAAGAAGCCGGCCGACGCTGCCAAGTGACGGCCTCTCAACGGCTGGTAGGGTGCAGCTTGGTGTATCTCAATCTCCAGCATTGCCGAAGAAGATGGCCTGCATCGATGGACGAGCTAGCATCGCCACTCGGGGTCTCGGAAGGCCTGATGCGATTTCAGTTTGTGGGTTTGCCGAAGTCGAGTCTCAAACGATTCTCGCAGCGATCCTCAGACGAAGCCGAGTCTCCAGCCGCTGGCCTTCAGAACTTCTTGGCAAAAAAGCTGCACAGTCATTTCCTGCTGTCGTGGACGAGCTCTTCGAGTGCAGGGCTTTGAAGGACATTGGCAGCTTTCTTCTCCACCCAGCTTTCTTCTCCACCCAGATTCCTCGAAGCGACCGTAGTCACTCGAAAGTTGGAGAAAAGTCTTCTTCACGAGCTGAGTTCCGAAATCTCTCAGCAATTCAGCATGGATGGATGTGGTGGATGTGCGGATGTATTATCTGATATTATGGAATCATGTATAAGTTCCTTCCTTCCTTCCTTCCTTCCTTCCTTCCTTCCCTTTCTTCCTTCGTTCCTTCGTTCGTTCCTTCGTTCGTTCAGTCTTTGATATCTGTATGTGGGCGGATGGATGGATTAATGTGCAGAGCACACAGACGTGCACATACATGTCATGTTCGCTTGCATCTAGGGTACGTATATATGCTCCTCAATCCACCGCTACTTTCATCCAGCTGTCAGATACAGCACCGCAGTTGGAGACACTGAGCTCGAAGCTTGAACCCCTGATCAGTCCGTGAAACTATGCCGTCAGCGCCTTAACTCTGGGTCCTGCACCCGCCAAACCCTTGAATCGAAACCTAAACACAAACCCCCGAAGCCTACACTCCGAACCTACAGCCATGAGCCTTAGACTTAGACCCAAACCCTGAACCTTCACAGAACCTGTATAGAAGCATTCTAGAGTCTTTACAGAACCGCTCTAGTTGCCTCATAGAGCACTCATGAGACCGCATAAACATCTGCTGGCACCCAGCCCGGAACCCTTGGTGCCAGGACGGCGCCGTCCTCGTCTTCGGCCTCGAGAATGGCACCGTGCGGGGTCCTATCCGCAGCTTCGAAATCCAGGAGGCGGAGTTTTTGCTCCCCAGGGTTGATTTTTTGGCTTCGGGGTCTACAAATATCAGGGCTTTAGGGTTTAAAGTCTATCGTTGAGGCTTTATGGGTTGTATACTACAGGGGCCTGAATAATCTGTTGCTGTATTCCTTAAGGTTCCGTTGTCTAGTTCGGTACAGCACACCCCAAGGCTCCATTTTCATTTTAATACATGGCACCGATATTGCAGTAGTTGTGTCTTGCTATTGTGTTTTTGAGGGTTCCTTTGAATTTTTGTTTTTTTTCGAGGGTTTGTTTTTAAGAGTTGTGTTTGCAGAGGCTTAGTTTTTTTTAAGGTTTAGCTCGTCGGGGCTTTCGTCTGCGAGGTCTGGGGTAATTTAGGTTTCATGTCCCAGGCTTGGCTTTCTTGTCAGGGCTTCGGGTTTCTTGGGCTTGGGACTTAGGCTTAGGCTACCAGGGACTTTAGGGTTCCCGGTTTTTCAGGCTCGGGCTGCTGACTAGGGTGTCTTTGGAAATCGGAACTTTCAAGTTGCGTTGGAGGTCGAAAGTCCAACTCGAGGGAAGGACCGTTGCTGACAGTAGGTATCAGGAGAATGGTTTTTACTTCCAAGCCCTCATCCCGAAGCTCTTTGCAACACCACAGCCCGAAGCACTCAAAGACCTAAGCCCTTGTCAAGCCCTACACCTTCTCTAAACTCAAGCTCTCTTCAACAACTTAAGCCGCAAATCCCACTCCGTTTTGGCCCAACACCTGAGACTTGCGTCACTGCCCGGTTCGTCTCTAAGAGCTCTCGGAGCTTTTGTGGGTCGTGAAAACCTCATCCCTGAGGGTTTGGGAATTTTAGGGCTTAAGAAGGAGTGGCAAGTCAAGCTTTCGGACAAAGCCGGCAGTGCTACGGCATTTTCGGGTTTGGCATTTCATCCGCTGAACTTCGGTCCCCCCCTGTTAAGGGGGGCCCGGAAACACCACGTGGAGATGGCGGATCGCCGCCCCCTTTAAACCCTAAACCCTACACCCTACACCCCCAAACCCTAAACCCCTAAACCCCAAACCGGAAGCCATCGAGATCCCAAGAAGCAGAGCCAGAACCCCAAGCCGAGCCTTGAACACCATAAAGCGTAAATGTTGGCCCTGACAAGCCTTCAAGCCTCAAGCCCTAAACCCTAAACTCCTAACCCGAGCCCTAAACCCTACTAAACCCTAAACCCTGATGGTCAAACAAGGAGTTGAGGGCCAATCTGTGGCGTGCAGTATGCCACTTCCTCGTGGTAGGCCAGTGGAAATCAGGATCCTCATGGCTGAAGTGAGGGTGGCACGGTGCATGAGGCCTCGCGACCATGTCTATCTTCGCTGGCAAGTGGAGGAGATGCTTGGGCAGGAGATGGTTGGTAGGTTGAAGCTGGCAGATGCAGAGGGCCATATGTGCTCAAACGAGCCACTTTTGCCTTCCCGAGTGGGACTCCAAGCTCTACGATTTGGACAAGAGGCGCTTTAAAAAAAAAACCTAAACCCCAAAGCCCTACTGGCGTCCGAAACCTGAATCCTAGGCCCTTGAAGCCGGTACTCCTTAGGTCGGAGAGCCCGGAAGGCCTGAGCCCAGAAGCTCACACCCGCAAGCCTGAAACCCACTCAGGGCCCTCATGAACACCCTTTAAGGAAAAGAGGCCCAAAACCCAAAACCCTAAACTCGTACATGAAAACGAACCCCCGCCCTCCGTTAACGAAAAGGGGGCCTTGAAAGGACGGCCCCTCGAGGGAGGCCGCAGCTGCAGACCTGACGCGAAGCGTGACGGTGCCGCCCCGCACTGCCATTTTTTTTTGAAATTGAAGGGTTTAGGGCAGTTTAGGGTTTCGGGTTTAGGTTTGGTTTTTTGTTTCGGGTTTTCGTCTCAACTTTTAGGCTCCCGTTGGTTAAGGTTCCCTCATCTGCACTATCGGGGGGTTTGGGGTCCTAGGGTTTAGGATGTACGGCATGTCAGGGTTCTAGGGTTTAAAGGTTTTTAAAGTTGTCAAGGCCAGGTTTTGTCGTGTGGGGGAGGCCTGGGGCTTCAAGGTTTCGGGTTTCAGGGGTTCGGGGCTTTGGGGTTCCTTGAGGGGGTCCAGGCCATCGAGCAGCTTTGATAGTTGGGGAAGCTGCAGAGCTGAGTCCTGGCTCAGAACATCCTGATAGCTTTCAAGCCATGGCCGTGTTAAGGTTGAAACTTTAAACTCAAGCGCTAAGCCCCCTCGACTGCTGAACCCCAAACACCCCAACCCAACCCCCCAAAAGAGGTTGAAACCCTAAACCCCTTATTTTGAACCCCCAACCGGCCAAGCCCTCGGCCCCCAACTGGCCAAGCCCACACCCCTAAACAACTAAGCCCCTCAAGCCCCGAAGCCCCCCCGATGGATCCCTTTAGAAGCCTTGAAGCCCTCAACCCTGAAGCTGCCCTAAAGTCTATAAACCAAAAGTCACTCTAAACCCTAAACCCTAAATCCCAGCTCCCTAAACCCTAAAACTAAGCCCTATAAACCCCATAAACTGCATAAGTCCTAAACCCTAAATCCTAAGTCCCAGCTTCAAAAAAGTCTGGGGAGCTCCCTACAGGCGCTGCATCTCTACCAGGGCCGCCTCTTTGCGGGCAGCTCCGGCCGCTGTACATGTGCGGCCCTGAGTGTAGTGTAGGGTTTAGGGGTTTAGGGGTTTAGGGTTTAGGGTTTAGGGGTTTAGGGTTTAGGGGCTTAAGGGTTCAGGGTTTAGGGGTTTGGGGTTTAATGTTCAGGCCCTGAGTCTTCTTTTTGTTGTTTAGGGCCTTAAAGCAAGCACGGAAATGGCCCATCTTAGGGTGTTTGGGTTCAGGGATCTTTGGAAAGGGGTTCAAGGTTTTAGGACCAGGTGTAGGGTTTAGAGGGAAAAAGGGCGTTCAGGATTGAGTGTGACTTGCTGCATAGGTAGTTTAGGGTTGAGGGTTCAGGGGTTTAGGGTTTAGGGGGTTTAGGGGTTTAGGGTTTAGGGTGTAGGGTTTAGGGTTTACCGTGTAGCAGCAGGCTGGCAAGGCCAATGCACACAATCCTCGCCTCTTGCGGGAATCGTTCCGAGCAGGAGCCAAGTTTCATGGGGGTATGTCCATGGGTGCCTAGCGCCCCAGAGCCCCAAACGTCCGAAGCCTAGGAGCCCAAGAAACCGGAGCTGTAGGGCTCCGGAGCCCAAGCCCTACCCTAAACCTCGAATGCGAAGCCCTAAGCCCTAAGAGCCCTAAGAACCCTAAGAACCCTAAGAACCCTAAACCCTAAACCCTAAACCCTAAGCTCTAGGCCCTAAGAAGCCGAGAAAGCCCGAGACTGGACCTTGGGGGACGGCGAGCTGCAACGTGAGTTCCATCTTCCAGGCCCTTCGAAAGTGTAACATGGAGGCCCACAGAATGACCGATGAAGTTCCTTGGGATTTGATTTTGTCATGACAAGATGTATTTAAAAAAGGAGCCCAGAACTTCATTGTAACTTGTTTTAAGGGCCCTGTAGTATGGGCAATCTTTGTTTTGGGAGGGGGGGACTCCATGTGCCTCAGGCACGGCCCCTTTGGGTATGTCTCAGCTTAGGTTTCCGGCGTTCTGTTTCTCAACGGGCATTTCCTCGGCGATCAGGTTTCAGATCACAAGACCTTGTGTCAATCATCACGACGATTTTCTTCACACCTTGGGCCCCTGGGGTGTGCGGTTTGAGGTGGCTTTGAGCTTGGATAGGTCATGTATGCGCGTCAAGCGTCTTTCCATGAAGCCATTGGCTGGCAGCTGCCATGATATGGTGCTCGTCCTCACAGAAAATACTGATACCTCGTCCAGGTGCTTCTAGCAAGGGTTGATTTGCCTGTACCCGGGCCCGCTTAACTGCTAATGATCCCATATCATGAGGTCTAAACGGGCATGTTCAATGCAAGGCTTGGAAGCTGTCACGTCTCTGGTGCCCAGAACGCTGGGACCTCACGCCCAAAGTCCTCAGCCTTAAACCTCGGAGCTCGACTGGGTTCAGGGCCTCTAGGGTCCGGGTTCTGCGATTGAGGGCTACCACTGCGAGTTTCGGGAGCCCTGAAACCCCAAGGTCAAACCCTAAGCCTGAAGCCTGGAATGCCTATCAATCCTGGCCCCAAGCCCCTAAATCCTAAGCGCGCCCTAGGCCCTAGGAGCCCTCACTGCCCTAACCCTCTAAACGCCATAAGTTCTAAGACCTAAACTCTAAATTCTAAACCCTAAGCCCTAAAACCTAAACCCTAAACCCTTGGAGCCCTCAGACCCTAAACCCCACCGGCCCGCTGTGCAGGAACTGACGAGCAGCCAGCCACGGCCAGCTCGTTGGTGGTGGTCCCACAGGCCCTCGGGGAAAAATCGGGTCCGTTTGAGAATTAAGCTATGGGGTCTGGAGTTTGGGCTTTAGATGCTTAGGGTTTAGGGGGTTTAGAAGCTTATGGGCCTTGGGGGATTGGGGTAAAGGTTTAGGATTTAGGGCTTAGGTTTTGGGGTTTGTGGAGGTTTGGGGTTTAGAGATTTGGGGTTTAGTTTCGGGTTCACGATTTAAGGAAATTAGGGTTTAGGGCTTAGGCTGTAGGGGTTGCACGCGCCGCTGCACTCCAGGTGTCTCCAGGGAACCCTGAGCTCCGAAACCCTTCACCCTAAGTTCGCGGCAGTTTCAGCTGTTGGGGGTTCTGGGGCTGTGGTGTTCCAGCTGTGCTGGGACCTTTGGGGGCTGTGAGCCCCTCAAAAGTATGAATTACAAGCAACCCCAAACACACTGAGCCCGTACGAGTGCCTGGGTTCAGAGATCGGGGAGCCCTAAATGCAAACATCCCCTAACAACCTCAAAGCCAAAATTCCTGAGACCCAACATCCCAAACCGTAAACCCCAAACCCCCAGTCCCCAGCCCGAAACCCTAAACCGCAGGCTCTTCCTGACTAGGCTCAGACCCTGAAGCCCCAAACTAAATCCGCTATGTTAGAAAGAGAGTCCCTGAAGCCCAGACCCCCAGCCCTAAGCTACTGCAGCCTGCAAAACCCATAGTAACTTAGGTTCGTTAACAGGAGTCCCGAAAACCCCTAAACCCTCAGACCTAAACCGTGAAGCCCGTCGTAGCCCTGAGAGCTAGGCCCCCAACCAGAAGCTCTAAGTTGAGCTCGGCCGGAATTATTGGCAATGCTACTCTTAAAGCCCCATTCCAACTGCGAAGGCCAGTATACTCGAAGTATCAAACAGCTTGTGAAAGCCTTTCTACGAAATCCTTCGATCACCGATAAAGCCCTTAAAGGTTCGAACACGGGCCCTGTGTTAACTTACAGATAGCCACAAACCGGCTAGAGCAATCCAATTTCCACAAACACCTGTGCACAAACCTATAAGACCTCATAGGGGGAACTCCATTCTGACACCCGAAAAAGACTAGAATCCGCGAAGCCCTCCAAAGGAGTCAGCACTTCGGCTCTGGGTGGGCCTCGACAACGGCCAGCTGGTCGTCTTTGAGGTTGAGACCGGCTCGAACCCCGGGGGAGTCAGTTTTTTTGTCGGCTTCGTTTCTTGCTTCATCATTGTCGTGTTTTTTTTCAGGCATTTTCCAACGTAAGCCTTGTCTGATCATGTCTGATATCTTTGATGTACGTGCGTGTGCATATATGCATATACATAAACACGTAGTTACGTAGTTCCGCGAACATGAGTCTGCCGTAGACGCAGGATGTAGGGCTGCCGCAGCCAGATTCAAAGGTCATTGGCTGGAACGCTTTGGTTTACGCTTCAAAGATGCTGAACCCCAGCATTCCAAACTCGCACAAGTCCTAAACCCCAAGCCCTGAATCTACCTATCCATCCATCTATCCATCTATCCCTCTATCAACAAATCATCCTTCCATCCGTCCGTCCGTCCATCCATCCATCCATCCATCCATCCATCCATCCATCCATCCAACGATGCATCTATCCATCCTTCCATGGATATATCTATCTATCTCTCTCTCCATCCATCCATCCATCCATCCATCCATCCATTCATCCATCCATCTATCTACACTACACATACCATATCGTTCCAGAGGGCTATCGCCGAAGCAGTATGACATTATGTAAGTAAATGCGATAGGGACCGTACATGCAAGTACAACAAAACCATACCAAAAGCGCGCTTACCCACGCAGGCGCGCACACTCTCTCTACAACGTACTGTGCGAACCTCATAATGAAAAATGATCTGCTGCCCGTTGCAGATTAGAGAAAGCGTCTGTCAGGGATGCTGGTGCGGAGCTTCTCTTGCTGCGGGCCCGAGGTGGGTAGGACTTCCGCCGAGCACAGACACAGACATGGGCATGCAATTGCGGTACAGGGTTTGGGGTCAGCGTTTAGGGGTTCAAAGTGGGTTTTGGGGTTGATGTGGTTGAAGTTGCTGTCTGTGTCTAACATGTCGAAAAACCCAGCCTGCCGCAAATAGATGGCAACATGTAGGAGAACGCGGCCAATCCGTTTGCTCTCACAATCGCTCGTTTGTTCGTCCGTAGCTTGCACGGACCGGCCAATTGCACCAACGAAAGAAGCCAACCAGGAGTTGCATGTGTTTCAAAGAAGCAGGGCACAACTATGCAGACATGTGTCTCGACAGGTTCAGACCTCGGCCAAACCTAAGAATCGAGCACTTCAATAGTGCTATCGGATTCCGCCAGCAGTTTCATTGTTTCCTGAACAACTATTGTCTCGAGCTTTTCTGGATCCGTGCAGATGGTCTCAGCAGTGGCCTTCTGCGAGAAGACCTCTGCTGTGTTCGCCCTCTCGGCACATAAGCCGGAGCCCCTGGGGAAGTGTAGCTTTCCAGTTTAGATGTCTGACGTCTTGGTCCAGGGCCGGCACATACCTTCGCGAGAATTGTACTGACGTCAAAGCCCAGACAGCAAGCAACTCAAAGTAAACCTTGAACGAAGACGATGAAGGCGACGGAGAAGATGCGCCGTAGTTCTTGCAACTATTTGCAGACAAGCTTGTGAAAGCACAAGCGCTTTTAAGTAGTAAGTTAGACTGGCCGATACTGACCAATCAGAATTATACTCTGTTTCAGCCGATTGCAAGCTTTGAGTTTGAGCTGCGACCCGAAGCCCTAAAGGCCCTAAATCAGATGCATCGGCTGTGCTGAGGCGCGTGAGCATCTGGGACTCCAAGACGTTTGCCTGCCTGCAGAAGTATCCAGCAGAGCTTATGACGCCGGGGCCCTCGGAATGCTGTTATAGCACACCGTAACATACCAGAATACACAAAAATATACCGCAATATGCCCAAATAACTCTGACATACTCGAGCATACTCTAACATACTCTAATATGCTCTACTACTCTATAGTTTCACTGTAATCAGGGCCGAAGCCCGAAGCCTTGATCTCCAAGCACTAAGCCCCGAGGCGGATGAAACCCACGTGCTACCCTGCACCTTAGGGTTTGGGGGTGGCAGTTTCGAGTTCAGGGTTCAGGGTTTAGGGTTTTGGGGTTCAGGGCTTAGGGTTTGGGGCTCAGGAGGCCCAAAAGCCGCAAACCAGAGCCGAAACCGAGCATGCTGTAGGCCTAGACGCAATAGAAAGGCCTCCATCCCCAAATTCCATCCCCAAGCCAACATGCGCAACTTTTAATACCCAAGGCTAAACCCTCTTAGCCCCAACCCCCTCAACCTTCAAAAGCCTTCCAAAGAAGGTGCGGTTCCGATCTGAGTGCCATGGGAGCCTTTGACGTGCGCATGCGGGGCTTGAGCTTTGGTGGGGTTAGGGCTTTGGAGCCTGAACACATATGGGGCTGTGGGGACTGTTTAGAGGTTTTGCGAGTTTGGGAAGGCAGGTGGGTTCATGATGCTGATGTTGATGGTGACGACGATGATGATGCAACGGAAACTGTCGACCTACCACGGAGTCGAAATGAGTAGTGATAGCCTCCCACATAGTTTCTGCATGTTTCTACTGTCGAGGTGGGGCTATAGTGGTCTACTGTGGACCTTTGACCGACCTTTCCATGTTCGTTTTTGCCACACCGATGCTGAGCTAGCCAACAGTGGTACCCCGAAGCTGCCGCGGATGACTAGAGGGAGAAAGATCCCATCATGTAAGTGCTTGGGGTTCTGGGTCTAGGCTGTAGAGAGTCCGTTTGTGGGTTTCGGATGCGGTTTCAGTGCCACTTCGAATCCAGGGCTTAGGAAGTAGAGCATTTGCTTCGTAACTTCCGAGACCCAACATGTCTGGGGCCTAAACCTACCAAAGCAAAAGCTGCAACCCCTGAAGCCTGAAAGTCCTTGTACTACTATAAATATAATATTGTTTCCTGTTAGGGTAGTTGCTGTGCTGCCTGCCATTCCTACGGCTGCAGCTGCAACTACCAACTACAGCCTCTGCTGCACTGCTACTGCCACAGCTGTTGCAGATGCTACTGCGACAGCTATTGCTAATGCTACAGCTACAGCTACAACTGCTGCTGCTGTTGCTGTTGCTACTGCTCTACTCGTACTCCTGCTCCTACTCCAACTCCAACTGACTCCTCCTCCTACTACTAACTACTGCTGCTGCCGCCGCCCCCACCACCACCACCACTACCACCACCACCCCGGCGGCGGCGGCGGCGGCGGCGGCGGCGACCACGACGACGACGACTACTACTGCTGCTACAACAACAACAACAACTACTACTACTACTGCCACTACTACTGCTATTACTACCATCACTACTACCACTACTACCACTACTACTTCTCCTGCTGCTGCTGCTCCTGCTGCTGCTGCTGCTGCTACTACTACTACTACCACCACTGCCACCACCACCACTACTGCAACTACCGACAACAACGACTATCATTATCACCAGCGCTACCACTACTACCACCTTCCCTTACGGCTACGAGTACGCTAAGTACAGCTACCACCTTGCCGGCCCACAAAGCAAACTTCATAGACCCCAAACCCTGAACCAAAGACTCTCTACACCTAGATTCTCAGCCTGACCCCAGAGTCTAACCCTCCGGCGGTGTGTCAGTTGTAGAGCGCAAGATCCGAGAATCCCGAAGAGAGGTACCTAAGCTCTCCCTCTCGCTCCTGGTCCTGGCTGCACGCGGCCCAAGCTTTCATTAGCCCTTCGAGCTTACAGAGTTTGGGGCGCGTCGGGTCTTGGGTTTTTGAGTGATTAGTGTTATGAGTGGCAGGTCTTGCAACCTCTGCGACAAGGTAAATAAATTAAATGTGTGAGTTATCTGAGAGAGGCAGTGAGAGAGGTATGTGTGATGTGATTTTGGTGAGAGAGATTTCGGGGTTGTGAGTTTCTTGTGAGCGGTAGGTGTGATTTTTCTGTGGGACCTGTGAGATCAGTGTGAGCCTGAAAGCGGCGCCCGGCTGCTCACACCCCGCTCTCAGGCCCCGCTCACACAATTCTCACACCCCCCCCCCTCACTGCAGGCCGGAAACCAGTATTTGCTTGTGATTTACATGGTATCTATCGCTCACAGCATTCTCACAGAGCTCTGCGCACTCACAGGCGCCGCTCACAAAATTGTCACAAGTATCTCTCACAGAATTCTCACAGACCCCCCGCTCACAGGTACCGCTCGCGGAATCGCTCACACTAAACTCACAAATGAATCTCAGAAAAATGCATTCCAACTATCCCAGAGCTTGCAAGGCACTGCAACTCTTAAGTTTAGTGTTTAGGGCCTCGAGGCTTTTGAGTAGGGGTTTGGGAGCGGGGTTCGGGGGAAGTAGCGCCTCGAGGGTGTTTGAGTGCGTGTTCAGGTCTCGCCTGCTTCTATGCTGCAGCATTTTATTCCATGTCCCAGACCCTAAGCATGTATTTTGGTCAAGCCGGTCAGTGACTGAGGTCCGGAGGCAGAAACCAAGCTCAATAGAGAATCCGTGCAACGGGGCGCGCATATAGTTTTTTCTTCAATCTCTTACGTTTTTTAAACCTCTTACCTCAGAAACTGCTCAGAAAAAGGAGTGACATAGGAAAGCTCAATATTTGGTAACACTATTTCACAGCCCCCATATAAAGATAATATACGACAATCAACCCAAAACCCTAGCCTCAGTAATGAGGCCCTCCATTAGATGTTGAGGAAGGCTTGACAATGGTAAACCGTGAAATGACTCCGTGTTAAAAGGACACTGCAAAGCGTATCGAAACGGATTACTACAAAAGAACCCTCTAACTATCAGGGTTATCATGTTCATACTCTGCAACAGGGTTCAGCTCAGTCCGCAAGGAGGCTGCGAGCTCCTTTTGACATGGTCTTTATGGTTTTTGTCGTACCAGTACTAGTTCGAATAGGACCTCACACCACTGTCAATCTAAGCATTTCCAGGGGGGTTTTTCAAGGCTGTAAAGTGACATGCTTGATCGGCTTCAAAGCTTCTTGCCGCCTGGCTTGATAACTGCTTCTTGCAGGGGGTCGACGGCTCTCTGTGCCTGCGACGCATCACGCGACGGACGGACAGGACTCGTTTGCTTCATCAGGGGAAGGGAGATCAGATCAAGGCCACCGGGTTTAGCGTTTCGGTTTAGGGTTTCCTTACACCCTGAACCTTAAATCCTTACTTAACTGTAACCCTCGAGCCCTGAAGCGAACCCTTAAACCCTAATAAGAATAATCTCTCCACTGCGCAGTAAGCTCAACTGCATCCTCCTCTGGTATCGTGGCGATGCCGGCGGAGAGCTGGCCGGTCGCCCAGGATTGCTTTATGGACTTAGGGTTTAGGGTTTTGGAGTTTTGGGGTTTAGGTTTATGATGTTAGGGTTTGGGGATTTAGGATTTAGGGTTCAGGGCTCAAGGTTAAAATGTTCAGGCCGGAGGGGTTGGGGTATAGCTCTTAGAGTTAGGATTTACTGGTGCCTTGCGTCCCAATTTCTTCGAGCCTACAGCCCGGACTCGACCAATATCCAACGAGGTCCTCAGCGCCAAACCCCGGAAACGTCATCAACCTCGCACGGCTGAATCCTGACGCAAACAGCCCCGTTTCAATCAACCCTGCAAACAAAGCTTGGCTTCTTAAGCCCGACGAAGTTCTGGAGGCCTAAACCCCAAACCTCAAACTACACCCTAAAGACATGGAAGCCCCCCAAAGTAAGGAAGCAAAAGCAACCCCACCGAGGGCTGCCCCGTCACGGCGCTCAACTTCCACGAGGACACCGAGATGGTCCTGCTGGGCGATGCAGCGCGCTGCCCGAGATATGACATATTATATATTACATATTATATATTGCATATTATTTATTATATGTTTTATATATATATATACGATACAATAATATACATTATATAACATATTATAATATACATATATATATATATATTATAATGTATTATATTCTTTTCTATTCTATTCTATTCTATTCTATTCTATTATATTGTATTATATTGTATTATATTATATTATATTATATTATATTATATTATATTATATTATATTATATTCTACTTAATTAGTTTTTTTCTTGTATTGCGGTACAGCCAGGACTGCCAGGACTCTGACGACTCG